GCTGCCTTGAACAGCTTGCTCAGCAGCGACTTCTCCGAGTTGGCGAATGTTCGCGCGACCAGATCCTGCGAGTCGGCGAACGACTTGCGCCGATCGTCGATCGGCTCGACCGATCGCCGGCTGTTGCTGTTTGACTCTCTGGTCAACGAGCCGGAGCGCAGTCTCAGGCTCGGGATGCAGCTGCGTCGCTTCGAGCCGGCGGCTTGCCGAGGCACGCTCGACTCCGCGATCGAGATCAACGACGATCGTTTCTCGCACTTGTCCGTGTCCCGGTAGCTGCACTTCAGATTCCGGTCGAACTTCAGACTCGAGGCGTCCGATCCCAGGGAATTTCTCAGCTTCGACTCTTTGATCAGGTTCTCCGCGGCCAGCAGCCTGCTCTCCAAGTTCGTCATCTTCGACGACGAGGGACTGCTTTTGCACGCGGAGGAGGACTCGGTCGGCCAGGTGTCGTCGTAGTCGGACCTCGTCGACAAGCTGGACGTCGTCGCGGCGTCCAGCGGGTTCGAGGCTGATTGCGAGGTGTACTCCGAGACGGAGCTGTCGCCGGGCCACGCCAAGTCGTCGGACGCCTCCTCCTGGATCTTGTCGGCGCGGTACGAGCGGAAGCTGTCCTTCCGCAGTAGTTTGCCCGAGCTTTCCTTGTACCATTTGTTGTTGCTGTTCTCCGTCGGCGACGCGCCAAGGAACAACGAGCCACGATGATGGTGGTCGTCGAAGAGGCCGACGACGGTTCGACGAGGCTCCAGCAGGCTGTTGGCTCTCCTCACGGCGCGCCGATCTTTGTACTCGGTCTGATCGGAAACGGTGGAGATGGATCGGTCGGTCGCCGCCTCGGACACCGCGTCTGCGTCCCTCTCGGCCGACAGCGCCCGCGAAATCGATCTTGACGGCGGCGGCGGCGGCGGCGGCGGCGGCGGCGACCTCGTCAACGATCGTCTGGTCTGCTCGATCAACGTTCTGCTCAACCGCCTGGCCAAGCTCGGCGTGAAGCTTCGCTCGAGCGACTCTTGCGTCTCTCTATCGATTCGCGTTGGTTCCGTTGATTCTACGTCTTCGCGTGCTACTTTATCTGTAAAAACAAATTTTCCCCTCCGGATGACATTTGCTCGCCGTTCTCTCACCTAAAGTTCCCTCTTAGCTGCGAGTGACCAGCCCAGTTCGTACTCGTCGCGAACATGTGGCCATCGTTTTCGTCGTGTAACGACGAGTATACTCGTCGTGCGAGAAAAGTAAGTGGAATTCGCTACTCTGTGGCGAAAGAAATTTCTCTCGGAAATTTTCTTCCCCTGCGCTGTCTTACAACTTTTCTATCGAATAATTTTCCATTGATTGCGTAATTTGAAAGTTATTGCAGTGAGTGCGAGTTACGCGTAGCCTGCATAAGTTCTGTGAAAACGGAATCTTTTAGATCGCAGAGGTGGCCAATTGGCGACTCTTGCCCCCCCACCCCCCACCCCACTTTTCTGATCGCTAGCGCTATCCCCTCCACTGGGCGGATCGATCTCCCCACCCCACATTGAAACATTTCTTCGCCTTGCACGAGCCCCACCACTCTCTCAGTCTGTTGATTTCCCTAGAGTAAGCAAGTGGAGAGATCATCCGAGAAATATCATCCCGAGAGAGAATATATGAAATCTCTTTTTATTTCTCCCAAATATTTGATTTTCTTGTTTAATGAGAAAATTACGTACGTATATAAATTTTTGTTTAAATAATATTAATCAAGTCGAACGATGAAATTATTTTTCAAATTTCCTGGTAGTCCGATTGAATTTTTACAATTACCAGAGATCGCACACGTATTCTTTGTTCGACGAGTATAATCGCCACCGCGCAATGTACGCACTTTTCAAAGCGGCACAGCTAAGAGGTTGATGAAACAGGAGGCAGATGAAATTACTTTGACTTTCTCGGTATTTACACTCCTTTATTTCCTACGTACATGAAATTTTCGTCTTCTGTCTCTTGTAAAATTTCTCGAAAAATTAATAAATAAATTTAACCGAAGACAGAGAGATAAAGAAAGAGAGAGAGAAAATTCACTCTAGAGAAATGACTGTACGAATCGAACGACGAACGAATTTGCCCGCGCACAGTGTAACTTTCGTAGCACAAAATGGTGGAATAAAATAATTTAAAAAAAAAAAAAAAAAAAAAAAACGAATAACCGAATAAAATAAATTCTTGGATCGTTGTTTTTGATTTCAAACGTGTGTCGATCTGTCTCCGTAGCTGTTACATAGCGAAAGAAAAATGGAAAACGAAAGAGGCGAAACGAATCGAGGGACGGATTGAATGCGAACGCGCGGTTCAGCGGGCAAACGCGTTGGTTTGTTCGACGTCTGGCACTTCCGGTGACTTTCACACCGTGAATCCTTCTTTAGAATGTACATTAACGAAAAAAATGTACGGCACGTGTACGTACACAGGGTGTCCCGCGACTCTGAAATCGACCGAAAGGTGACTCTACGTGTGAAAATTTGTCGAAAAGGAAGAATAAAGTTTGTTTCGTTGAAGGCCACCGTTTTCGAGAGAATCGGTGTTTGAAAGTTTATCGAGTATACGCGGATTTAGCTAATTCTCGACGTGACAGAGAAAAATGATTAACAGGAGGCGATTCTGTATGTAAAAATGTGTCGGAAAGAAAGGATACAGATTGTTCACTGAAGCCTTCAGTTTTCGAGAAACTCGAGTTTGAAAATTTATTAAACTATATACTTGAATTTGATTGATTCGACGAAGGGTTTAACAAACAAATTTTTTATTCTTTCTTTTCGACAGATTTTTACATGCATAGTCACCTCTCAGTCGGTTGACCACGAGTCGTGGGACACTTTGTATATATGATATATATACACATATGTAGATAAACAGATACATACATACAGATAGAGAGATACATACGTACATACATACGTACACACACACACACACACACACACACACACACACACACAC